GCTGGGGAGGGTGGGGTGTTATATAAATATAGATATAATTTTATTTTCGGAGGTAGGATGGTGTTATTTAATGGTGGTGGTGGGTGGAGTGACAGGGCGCTAGAACAGCTCTGGGTCGGGCGCCCATCCAAGCATGGACAGGACTTGGTCGCCTTTGCAACCCCTGGGGAAGACATTCGCAACTGACTTGGGGCTGAGAGGACACGTCTCCCAGATTCACGCCTCCTGCGCGCCAGCCTCCAGCGAACCCCTCGCCAGCCGTGGGCGGGAGGGAGAGTGTGCTGCGGGTTGTTTTTGCCATAAGCGAACTTTGTGCCTGTCCTACAAGTGAAAATTGTTCAGTCCAAGAAACTGATGTTATTTGATTTATTTAAAGGCTTAAAACTTGTTGGGTTTTTTTGGAAAGAATTCTTTGCACAATTGTTTCATTGTTTGACACTTAATGCACTTGTCATTTGCATAAGACAGTAGCATTCTGACCACACTTGTACACTGTAACCTCATCTACTTCTGATGTTTTAAAGAAAAATGATTACTTTTAAAATACAAGAGAAAAAAGAAACCACTAATTTTTTGTTTTGTTCTTGAAAAAAGTGGCAACACCGTTTTTTCAGTTTTATTTGTGCAGGTATGCGCACTATTTTGATAAAGGGCAGTAACAAGTATTGGGGCCTATTTAAACCCCCCTCTTTTTTTCACAAGGCAGTCTCTAAAGCTATGTGAAATTTTCTCTGCATCTCTGTACAGAGAATGAACCTGTCCCTAGCCTCCTTCCCCCCCTCCCTCCCCGTNCGTCCTCCCCCAGTGGTACTTCTACTAAATTGTTGTCTTGTTTTTTATTTTTAAGATAAACTGACAAATGACAAAGTGGTGAGCTTATGATGTTTACATAAAAGTTCTATAAGCTGTGTATACAGTTTTTTATGTAAAATATTAAAAATTATGATAACATTTATAAAATGGCTCCTGTGGTTTATTTTTTTCCTTTCTATTGAATTTATTGGGGTGACACTGGTTAACAAAATTATACAGGTTTCAGGTGCAGAATTCTGCAACACATCAGTACACTGTAGTGTATGTTCACCACCCCAAGTCAAGTCTCCTGTCACTATCCCTCCTGTACTTCCCCCCCACAATCACCACACTTTCGTCTGTGTCCATGAGTTCTCTCTTTTCTTTTTCACTCGATCTCTCCACCCAGCCCCCACTTTTGTGGTTTAATAGTATGTAAAAATAACTTAGTAAATTTAGCGCAAGAGAAGAATTCTGCTAGGCAGGTCTTTTCTTCCCATCAACTCCATTTCCGTGGTAGTATTTGTACTGAGAATGAAATTCCTCTGGGGATGCGTGGGGGCTGGGTAGCCATGGGAGACCAGGTTGCTCTAGTGCCAGTCCCAGAGGAAGACAAATGAGTTACCCAGGAGCTCAGAGTCGAAACTTCCAACCTAATGGGTACTGTCTGTAAGTCTTAAAAACACTGTCTCAGATGGGGGCCTTCACTCTCTAGTCCTTGAAGCAAAGCTGTCATTTGTGCATTTTAAATTTAGGTAACATTTCACCCGCTAATCACTAGTGTGGGGCCAGGCCCTCTGTGTAGAAGGCTGGTTACTGGGTTTCCTGCAGCTCCTCAAGGGATTACACTGTACCCCATGAGACTGTAGCTTCTTACTTTGGGCCTGGAGCCCCTGGGTAGAGCCCAGATCAGGAGCTGACTTCTATCATTGAGCTTTCATCTGAATGTGTGCCTATAGGGAACCTGGAATGCTTTATTCCAAGTCCTGAGAATGGCCACGTTATGAACAGAACGCTGGAGGTTTGGGCGGGGGAGGCTGCTATTTAAAGTTGGAGCAGCCACATTTTAAGATTTAATCCTGATGAGCTCTAATTTCAGACACTTAGCTGGCTGCAAGGGGTCTCAGAACCAGACAAGCAGATTTATACTTGGAGACCACATGAAAATCTTGTACAGGCTTGATGGTGCAGACCTGCCAACTCTCAGCAGCTTAGTTTGATAGTGCCAACCTCTCCCAACTTCCTAAGAAGTGTGGTTTTTTTGTTTTAGGAATCAGCACTTTCTGGGTTTCTAGCACTTAGTGGCTCCCCCTCCTCCCCTCTCCCCACCCCCTGGGCAGAGACAGACAAGATCCATTTTGAAGTTTGCTTTAAAGCTTGAGGCTTCTGTTTCCCTGGCTTTGCCCAGACATCCAGAGCTTTTGTTGAGAGGCAAACCTGGTTGCCGGCGACCTTTCACCCACTTAAACATGGAAGGGGGGGGACCCCAGAGGGACACCATGGACGCGGGGACTCCTGTGCAGCCAGGCCCATTGCCCAACAGAGGGGAATTGTCTGGGCTTCCCCAGGTGCAGAGCAGGGAGGGCCCCACTCACCTTCCATCTCCCAGCCTATATTTTTTCCTTCGTTTTAAAGACAAAACTTCCCATTGAAAAACAAAATGTTGACTTGTAGGTTTTACAGCTAGCAAATCCTTTCGTACCAGGGAGTGCAGGACTCAGGAGAAGAGCTCAGGCTTGGGCTCAATGCCCAGGACTCAGCTTTGCAATCAGCCAAGAGCCTGGAGACCCAGCTCCCTGAAAGGGCCTTTGCTGGGTTTCCTGCCTGCTCAAAGGTGCCTGGTACCTATAGCTGCCTGTTTTGTTCTTTTTATATTTTGGGAAGACAACCACTCAGATGACGTACGGTGGCCTGAGTTGTGCTTGTTTTAAAATGCATGGCATTTAATAATCCTGCCGGAACGCACTCTTCTTGCTGCATTAGGATCCAACTGGAAAACATAAAGACGAATTGCTGTAGGCTGGAAAATCAATTAGGAAAGAGAGGTAAAACATCTGGTGTTACTCTTAGGATATGAAAAATCATTTTGCACATTTTAAATAAATGTGCTGATTTCATTCAATTGCCTGTTGAGCTGTTTCATGGAGAATAGTGGGGACTGTCATTGATCCTGGGCATTTTATAGCAAGGGGCACTGGCTTGGGTTCTCATTTAATCTTAATTTTAAATCAATCTGGGTTGTATTTCTAAGGCCGCCTTTTACATGCGGTTCAGTGTACTTAAAATGGTGGTTTTCAAACTTAAGCGTGCATCAGGATTACATGGAGGGCTTAAACACAGACGGCCGTGCCTGGCCTCCCCAGTTTCTGATCTGGTAGGTCTGGGATGGGGCCTGAAAATTTGAATTTCTAACAAGGTCCTAAGTGATGCTGATGCCGCTGGTCTGGGGACCACACTTTGAGAAACATTGGCTTAGACTAAGGCAGAGTCCTGTCCATGCACAGGTGGGAGGCCGTTTAGTTGACAGTAGCTCAGATTCCCCAGATGCCCGGTGGTGTGCCCTGCAGTCCTGACTTCCTTACCCCAGGGAGTACAGCGCTTTCAGGAGCTTCCCTGCTAGGAAGCCACACAGAGCCCCTATCTCCTCTCCACATTCTTGTGCAAAAGCGGGTCTCTTGCCTTCTAGAGACTTATTTCTACCACTCCTGGGTGCAGAATGCAACAGCACTCTACTTCATTCAGCATTGGCACCTGCTTCGTCAGCTCTGCTGAGACAGGGACACAAAAGCAGATAGGACACAGCCCTTGCCCTGGCGGGCAGCACAGTCCCGGGAATACGTTCACTAAGGCTGGAGCACAGCACTCCCTCAAATGAAGGCATTAGGCCCAGCGCACACCCGGAGCAAGGGAAGCTGGAGAGGGTGTCGTGGTGGAGGAAACATCTGAACTGAGTCTTAAAGCTGGAGTGGGTGATTTGTATTACTGGGGGGGCTGGCCTCTGGGGAACAGAGCTCTCTTGGGTGAGAACTACCTTCTTCTTTTAGCACCTTGGCATACGTTTCTCCAGTCAAGAATAAAGATGTTACCCAGCCAAGCCAAACACAGCCTCTCCCAGGCCCTCCCTGTCCACACACTGGCCGGGAGAGACGGTTGGTGATGATGGCCAGCTCTGTGATAACCGTGTTCCTGGGAAACATGCAGCTTGGGCTCAAGAAGGCTGACACCACAAAGGAGCCTTGGTCCATCTTCTGGCTGGCTGGAGAACCTGGGTACTCAGAATGCTCCCCCAACTCTCAGCGGCCCCTTTTCTGGACTGAGAGGCAGGAGTCTGGAGGATCCCAGTTCATTCCTTCCTGTTCATTCTCTTAGCCAACGAATATTTCCTGTTGACGAAAGGACTCTGTGCCTAGCATTGTACCAGAACTCGGGACCCAGTGGACAAATAGGGAGGCATAGTCCCTCCCCTCACAGAGTGTTCTGTCTGGTGTGTCTAAACAAGTAATAATAATGATAGTGATAATAGCTAGTATTTATTGACTGCAACAGGCACTATTCTAAGCCCTTTATCTGTACCATTTTATTTAATCTCTATTAGTTATCTATTGTTGCATAACAAATTATCCCAAAAATGAATGGCTTAGAACATTTATTACCTTAGGGTTTCTGTGTGCCAGGAATCCAGGCACAGCTTAACTGGGTCTTCTGGCTCAGGGTCTCTCTTAAAACTGTAACCAACATGTTGGCTGGGGCGGGATTTATCTGAAGATTCTACTGGGGAAGGATGAGCTCTCTAGCCTACTCATGTGCTTGCTGGCGGGGT